AGGAGTGCCGAGCAATCGGTTTTGCAGTTTCAAAGTTATATTGCAAAATATTTTTATTCAGTTTGAAATTTTTTCTAAAAATTCTGGATGTTTAGGGTGAAAATTCGACACAGATTCACACACCTCCAGTACAAGTATCATACTTTATTAAATTAAAAAACTTTTAATTATAAATTTTGGAGATGACGTCATCAAATTGTTGCTGGGGATTAGCCAAATATTGGTTAGTATTTAACCGTCTACATGATATTTCTAACATATGTACAGAATTTGTCAATAATCGTTCCAGCAGTTTCGGAGATTACGTGTCTAATCAAAATGGATACCGACAGACAGATAGACAGACAGACGGAAAAGGAAGACCACTTTTTTCGTAGTCTAGAGGTCATGACACGTCGAGCAAATATGAAAGTGGCTATACGGCCGATGGACTGGATTACTATACATACTTCCTTAGCTTACGCTCGGGAAGCAAAAATGTCAAAGACTAAAGTTTGCGGACTGGTTTCTAAAATTATTTTAACTATACAGAGTGTTCTGTTTTAAGGCGTAGCACACAAGTTAGTTTTTTTTAAATGAAACATATTTTGATTGACTTTTTAAAGCTTTACGCTCACAATTTATTTTTGAAATTCCGATGCGATGTTGCCACGTTATTCCAATTTTCTTGAGATATTATAGTAATTGAAGGATTAACCAAAAAAAACACAGTGAGGTTATTTTTATGGTCTGTCTTATAATATTTTGAGAAGAGATAAAGAAAGATACGTGCTTTGTTGTGGTATAAATGAGATACAATTTTCATGTACAGGGTGTTTATACTTGTTTTTTAATTAATAGCATTTTCAAATATCAGTACCTATATTTTATTAATGCATCTTATTCTATTTTTTGTTCTTTGCCTTTTTGCTGAGTATGTTCTATATTTAAAGTCGACAGTTACTGAGATTTTTTATTTTTTTAAGAGACACATCGACATATTAGAAGAACGAGGACACTAAATAGAATAAGAAACAATAATAAAATACACGGTGTTCCATTAAAATAATAAAATAAAGAGATGAATGATAATGGAGAAAACAGCCACTAACTGATTTTTTTTTTTAAAGAATTAATTTTGAAAATTAAAAGAATCTTGTGTTTTTGTAACCTTATTGAATAAAAATACAAAAATGAAACGTTATATCTTGTTGAACTTGTGAATGAATATTTTCTTTAACATTCTCCCTCGAATGGAACGTTTTCCAGCTGAGCAATGCCCAACAATTTCGAAAATTTCTTATATTTTTCTTTAGGTAATCCTTTCGTATGATCGCCTGCAGGTTTTTCAGTGTATTCTAATTGTCGAATTTTAATTGTGTGTTTAATCTGGGCCCATAACCTGTTACTATAACTTTATTGAATGGAGATACAATAATGGACTGGATAGTCAAAATTATTAAAAGTGTTATTCCATCTTATAACTTGATGGTAAAATAACAATTTGAAAACGTCTTGAGGAACCCTGCTGTTTTCAATTTTAAAAATTTGAAAGAATCTTAGGGTTTCTCTATTTTTTTAATGAATGTAAAATAACCTTAATTGTGTTAGTATAATACATATTAGGTACGTTGATTTCATGCGTCTACACCAGGGGCGGTTTGTCCTATGAGGCAGGTGAGGCAATGCCTCAGCAATGAATTTGCGTCCTATTATTATTTTTATTATTCCTGGCCGATACATTTCTGGCCAACAAAAAGTTTTTTTCTAATATTTATAAACGTGAAAAATTATTGTTATTCTTATCTTCGTAGATGGATATTAATTGTTTCGAAGAATTCAGAAGAATTTAGATCTTTTAGAAGGATCTAAAAGTGTCTGCTGGGATTCGAAGTGACGTGGAAAAATTTGAAAGAATCTGAAACGATATGAAAGGTGAAAAATTCTGAGAGAATTTAAGATTTTTTCAAATTATTTGGATCCTTTCTGATTCTCTCTTTCGAATTTTTCGGATTTTTTCGATTTTTTTCAGACTCCTTCGAACTTTTCAGATTCTTTCAAATACACCATCAGAAATCCTCAAGATCCTTACAAATCCTTTCAGATTCCTGCAGACTCTTCCAGATTTTTCTAGATTCTTCGAGATTCTATCACATTCCCTGCCAGGAATTTGAGAGAATCTCGAAGAATCTCCAAAAATATAGAAGAATCTAAAATAAACAGGAGAATCTGGAAGAATTTGGAAAAATCTGCAGGAATCTGAAAAAATTAGAAAGAATCTGAAGAAGAGAATCAGAAAGAAAATGAAAGAATCTGGAGAAATTTGAAGGGATCTGAGATAAATTGGGAGATTCGAACAGAATCTGTGAGAACCTGAGAGGATCTCGAAGAATGTAGAAAAATCTGGAAGAACTTAGAAGAGTCTGTAGAGATCTTAAAGTATCTGTAAGGTTCTAAAACGATCTCAATTGAACCGGAAAAATCGAAATAATACGAAAGAATCCGACAGCATCCGGAATAATCCGAAAGAATCCAAGGGAATCCGAAAGGAAGAATCTTTAAAAAAGGAAAGAATCTGAAAGCACCACAGGAATCCAACAAAATCTGAGAGAATATGAAACTAAGAATAGTAAAGAGTTAGAAAGAATCAGAAGGGATTGGAAAGAACCTCAGACGAATCTAGGTAAACCTGGAAGAATCTGGAACAGTCTGCAGGGATCTGAAAGGATCCAAAGCGTTCTTGAAAAATTTGAGAGGACCTGTGGTGGGATTTTGTTTCTACCGATACGATACGAAGCGATAACGAAGCGATAAATGACAAGGACGAAAATATAAATTTCAGATGCGGAAGAAAAAGACGACCACATTTTATCGGTACCGATATTTTATCGTTATCGAAACAAAATCCCACCCCAGGGGTGCGATTTTGTTTTCGATCGAAGTGATAGATTATCACTTGGGATAAATTTCATTACGAAGCTTTTAAATGCAAAAGTTTGCATTTATTATTTGCATATATTTATTAAATGCTCAAAAGTTTACAATTACCTTCATTTTAAGAACTTATAACTCAGAATTACGATTTTGAATTTCTATTTTGAAATAAATTTCGAGGTTATGCGTCCAAAATTTATCATTTTACTCAGAGCTATCGAGAAAATATCACTCCATGAAGACTTGATTTCGTGACAGAATCGAGAAATGTGACAGAAATGTAGCATCTCAACCAATCAGCAAACAGTTTTTTTCGATCGAGAAACAAAATCGCACCCCAGAAACGGTTTGTAAAGATTTGAGAAATTCTGAGGAACTCTGAGGGAATATTGAGGGGATTGAGATAATTTAAAAGAATAGAAAAAAATCTGTAACAAAGTGTATTTTTTCTAGAAATTTTCACATTAATTTTTCAACGTATTCTCAGAGCCAGGAATTCGCTGCAAACTACTTTAGGTAAATCACGCGAACTTAGACACAGTGACCATTTTTAACAAAATTTATGGAAAACGTGGTATTGATTATATTTTACCGTTGCGACGTCATAAACGAAATGAAATGAATGATAAACAGATATTGAGGCAATTTTTTTCCGAAATTCTTGATATTAAAATTAATCAAATACGAATTGGATTTTCTAGGATAGAAAAATTACACATTTTTGACGTGCTTAATGTTCCTAAAATTTCATTTGTTTTGAAAAAATTTCCAGGTTAACCAAAAAAAATCTCAACTCATGAGCCGCCCCTGATCTACAGCCATGGTTTAAGAACCCAGTTTTACCCTGGATGTCCAGATTTCTGGGAATAATTCAAAACTTTATCATTTCTCTTGAAAACCAGCTCCTCAAAATTTGATAGATCGCCAACCAAAATTTATCTGTCAATACCCACCAAAACTTTGATGGTGTCATCTTAAAAATTTGCTATTTGTAATCGAGTCCGTTGGCCGACTTTTACGTTTCCTCGACTTCTCATGACCTGTGCAGTACGAAGAAATAGGTCTCCCGTTTCCGTCTGTCTGTCGGTCTGTCCGTCTGTCCGTCTGTCTGCCGTCACGGATTTTTATTAGACGCATATTCTCCGAAAGTAGTGGACCGATAGTTGTCAAATTTTATATTTATATTAGGAATATCATGTAGATGATAAAACGCTAACCAAAATTTGTCAAATCATCCCTACCAATAACGTGATGACGTCACTTCAAAATTGTACATAGTAAATGGGTTTTAAATTGTATAAAATAACATAGTTCTACACATATACGTAGTTTATGGCACCATGTTGAGTTTTTGCCCGAAACGTCCAGATTTTTGGAAAAAAATTATAAAACGATCAAACTAATTTCTACGTGACATTCTTCCGATGTATAAACATAAATACTTTCAAGTTGTTTTTCTTATCGAGGATAATCTAAAGACGTACAGTAATGGTGTCCATTGGGCAACTTGGTACTTTCATATTTTCTCAATATTTCATAACCCCCAAACAAGACCGTATCTAGGGGGAGGCTAGGGGATGCTGAGGCTTCCCTAGATTTACACAAGTTATAATTATCCAAATGTGAATTACAACATCGAAAATCAATAAAATGTAATGTTTTATTCAATAAGCGGAAGTCAGACCAATAAAAAAGTCTGGACGAGGGAAGTTCTGTCTAAGTAGTCTTTGACCAATTTTTCATTTAAAATGTTCATTTCAGGTGCAAGGAAAATTATGTGTAAGTAACTTTAGACCAATTATTTTATAATTACTATCATTCATATGCCTATTTATGCAGTGCTAGAAAAACATTAAGTGTCTTCTAGCACTTACGTTAGTTAACATAACGTCATTAAACATCTGTACATCCGGGTTAATAATCGAAAAATAAATACCTAGCAGTTGGGTCAACAATCTTATCACCCATTAAAGTATAACCTTTGACACTTACCATACGCTTACGATATAATATTTGTAGTAAACGTTACACAATAAATTATTTGTAAATTGAATTAACATTCGATAATGAAACTTATTTTGTTGCAGCGAAATTATGGCAAGATGGAGGTTGCACTTGTCGAAAAACGAGAGCTCCAAAAATCGGCGATATTCCAAGGTAAGAAATAAATTATACGAAAACATTCCAAAATTGAAAAGCAATAGGCGCACATACGGAACGTAAATTGAAATTTAGGACATAATTACATTTCATTACTTTTTGAGTCGCCAAAGAAAATTAGATTTTTTACCCCAATATCTGTTGAAAGAAATAAGAGAATAATTTTTTCACGTGGAAAAGCGACTAGATTATACGTCAAGTAGCTCTCTGCTTGTGAAATGTTTTTCCCCAAGAAATTTCCATCAAATTGACTGCGTCTACAAACTGATGAATCTAATAATTAAAATCACTCTCGCGAATAATTCTTCAAACATGAAAGAAGCTCGATCCATTTCCTAAATGGCGTATCAAAATTAGTACGCTGTAATTAATTTTGTAATCGAGCATTAGGTAAGTGAACTGAAGCACTAAACAATTTAATCATTACGACTTGTCAGAATTAAAAGTTCACGTTATCTGGGAGATAAAATAACAACGCCGCACAGGACTGGCGTGGAAAAAAATTCGCCCCGCAAAAGGAACCCTCAGTGTTGTTTGTTCATCCGTTCCAACCTAAAATACAAAAAGTAGTTAAAATTCAATTTGTAGTTTATCCAAGTGGTTTAAAGCAGAGTCGCAGCAGCTTTGAGGTTTCAAAGGATTATCACAGGAAGCGAAATTATTCATAATAATCATTTGTGATTAAAACCAGATGCGTCATATATTAAACGATCAATTGTGTTATTTTTTGTTATTAACGTATTTAAATATTTTATTATCTTTTTCACGGGTTGCGAGTCACGTACTATTAGCTGATTTAAAATCGCGTTCAAAAAAGTTGACTAGTGAGATTCAACGCATAAAGAGTCCAAGAATGGCATCAACACGTGGACCAGGAGAACAACGATTTAGTAGAAGCTGGACCCTGCGGCGGTGGCCTCAGTTAATTAATATCTGAAGCCCGACCTGACTTCCACATGTGGATTTTTGATAAAACGATAAAAATTGTGTTAGATTAAAATCGTGTTAGCACACAAGGATTGATACAATGATAATTAAAAATATAACGAGAATTTTGAGGATTGTTTCACGCTCCATCTCACGCTATACAAAGCTCTTCGCGCATGGCGGGGCTTCGGGTACATATATATATGTATGAAGAACGGGGTTGGTTAACCATCATGTGGATTGTGCTCTCTCTTTAGTGACTACGAGAATTTGGTGTGCGATGTCGGATTAGTTTTATATATATGAACAAGTCTGGCGAAGGTCCGCTTCCAAAGTAGGTACTATCAATATTTTTCCGTTTGATTGATTGACGTAAGAAGATTGCGGCGTAACTCTTACGGATATTTTAATTATAATATTCGTTTAGATGTGTGCGTATAATTACAAAATAATTAGAGCAGCAGTTATCATACCTACGAGTAATTAGTTTCCTAATCAGTCGAGGTCCTCGGGGCGTACCGTCCACCACAAAATCTGAAACGAAATTCTCCTAACGTAATTATTATTAATGGTCCCGGAAGGCAGCCCAGCGATACTTAATTTGAATGGATTGATATTAAAAACTGATCAGCGTTATCTAATAAGTGTTATCAGATGTCAGATCAGATTTACACTAACGCTACGAATAATCACAGCCTTATCTTTCCATTGTTATGAACTATGAATTTATATCGAGCCCGCGGCCACGCGAACCACCTTATCGTAATATTTTTTCTTAGGTAATAATAGCTCCACAATTTTTGTTACAAACAATGTACCGTGCTGGTGTTTTTATTGACTTTTCTATCCATACACATACTCAATTGTGTACGTATATCGTATTTGTCTATTTTTATTTTTAACCTATTGACCGCACATATACAGCAACAAAAATTAAAAATAAATCGACCTCTTTTATCACCCGGTAACAATCTTCGATAAAAATAATGATAAGAAAAATGCAAATGAAAGCTGTTGTAATTTTGCTTGAGATTAAGCGTCCTCGTAACAGAGGTGGTCGAACGGCAAACACTAGACAATATTTTAGCGTTAAATTGTGTTATGAATTACGAGAACCGGAATAATTCAAAGAACAAAATGTGTTTGATAAATCCAGAACATTAGGTGAAAACGAACGAAACGTGCGAAAATTCTCACGTTCACATTTGGAGATGAAGCGTAGCTGAAAAATTTCAGAACAGCAGTAAAGATTCCGCCGCGCTAGACACAAGAGAGATAATTAAACAGTGGCGCATAACAGGATATTCATTAGCGGACCGTGTGATGTTTTGAGGGTTCTTGTAAATTTTTCAGTTTTTTCATGGCTTGTTATTACTGAGTAAATTTTCGCCGCTACGCTATAATGTCGCAAAATACATTAAGTTGGTTAGGTTCATTAAAAAATTTGGACAGGGTCGCTAAATTAAATTTCTTGAGAACCAGTTGTACAGATCAGCTGAAATTAGGTATAGGGGTACAAGTTGTGCTCTAATTATTCGTCAAAAAAATTTTTAATATGTATAAAACTGAACGAAATTCATTAAAAATAAGTCATTTTATTAACATATTTATTGTGACTAATTATCACGTTTCAAAAGAGAACTGACTAATTAACTAACTAAATGAAAACTAATTTAAAACCCAGTGTATTTTCCGCCTGTTTCTATGAGATTGTACATCATTTCTTCATAGAATTGACCAAATAGATACCATCTTTCAATTCATTAACTGTCCCGTCTTTGTAAACCTCTCGTACAAGAGAACCCTATACATTCTCAATAGGGTTGAAATCCTAGCTTTTCGCTGGCCATGGTAGCAAAGCTATATTTTGTCGTTGAAACCACGTTTTTGATGAATTAGACACATTAATCGACACATTATCTTGCAGTGCAGTGCAGTGAGTTTTTCTTTTCTTCCACAATTTTGTCGTCCACTATGTCCTATTTCACGTTCTGTTAGATCGTTTTCTTTGCCCATGGTGAAAGACAATTATTATAGCTCACCCAAATTATATGTTGACACTTTGGCAGTTCCAATAAACAATAATTGTATATATCGTACAAATAAACAACAATTACACTGACTACGTTTTTCTAATTAATTTTTATATAAAAAGTTATGCGCGATAATGTTTTGTCTCAAAATGTCTTTATACAAATGATTTTTCACAGATCAGAAATTATGCACTGAAAAACTTCCCTCGCCCCTGAAGTACAGCCCAACAAATCCCGCTTCTTTGAAAAATTATAAATTTTTTTAGAATTTTTGTTTTCTTGTAAAATCTATAAAACCAGCAGCATAACATTCTCGCAGATTTTTGTCTTGAATATTCAATTCTTCGATATTCCGTTTTTTTTGTTTCTTCAATTTTTTGATTGGCATTTTTCGAGTTTTCAAGTTTAAGTTTTTCAGTTTTTCAACCAATTCTTAGACTTTGAAATTTTTTAATTTAAAATTTCTCAAGTTTTCAATTTTTTATTTTTCAGTTTTTTTGATTCTTTAAGTTTTTGTTTCTTTAAATTTTTAGTTTCGATTTTTTATTGCCATTATTTTTACAATTTTTCGATTTTTCAATGTTCTGATTTGTTTTTTTATTTGTTTTTTTAAATTTTTTGTTTCTCAATTTTTCAATTCTTCATTTTACTTCTGTTTCTACAAATTTATGACATTTAAGTTTTCGAGTTTTCATTTTAAAGTTTTTCGATTTTTCAATCTTTGGAGTATAGCAATTTCGCGAGTTTTCTATTTTTTATTTGCAATTTTTCGTTTCGGTTTTATTTTCTTTATTTTTTTCAATTTTTCGGTTGTTGGATGTTCCGATTTTATATTTTTTTTTTCAATGTGAAATTTTTCAATTTTTGTTTTTTTTTTTTAATTTTTCGGTTTGCAATTTTTCAGTTTTTCATTTCTTCTGTTTTACGATTTAAAATCTTTTTCATTGTTCAATTATTATGTTTTAAACTTTTTTCATTTATTCGATTTTTAATTTCTCCATATTTAATTTTAAAATTTTTCGATTTTTCAGTGCAATAGGTTTTCGACTGATAATTTTGACGATTCTATAATTTTTCGATTTTACAATTTTTGGGTTTTCCAGTTTTTCAATTCGATTCGTTTTCTCTTCTTTCCAATTTTTGAAATAATTCATTTTTTTTCGATTTGTAAGTTTCCCGATTTTTCAGTTTTTCAATGTTCCAAATTTCGCTTCTTCAGTTCTTCGTTTTACAATTTTTCGATTTTGCAATTTCTTGTTTTTTTAGTTTCTCAATTTTTGATTTTTCGATTTTTTAATTTTTCGATTCGTCAATTTTTCGAATCAAAAAAATGGAAAACAAAATATAAAATGAAAATTTTGAAAAATCTAAACATTGAAAATGAAAGACTCGAGAAATCGAAGAATCTAAAAAAGGAAAAATCGAAACATTGAGAAGAGCAAATTGAAAAATTTTAAAATCGGAAAAGTGTAAAATCTAAGAAACGAAATATTGTAGAATCGAAATACTGGATATTAAAAAAATCGGAAAAATTAAAAATTGGAAAATCCAGGAATTGAAAAATCAAAAATTGAATAAATGGAAAATTATAAAATCGAAAGAAACATTGAAAAAACGAAAATTTGTGTGTGTGATATAAAACCGAGTATATAAAAATAAAAAATCGAAAAAATGAAAAATATAAATCAAGAACTTGAAAAATTGAGGAAACAAAAATTGCAAAATCGAAAAATTAAACATCGAGAAACTCAAAAATCGAAAAATGAAAAATCGTAACAGCGAAACATTACAAAATTTGAAAAGTTGCAAATCGAAAAATTGAAGAACCAAAACAGTGAACAATTTGGAAGTCGAAGATTTAAAAAATTGAAAAATTTAAAGTTGAAAAACCAAAAATTATGAAACTGTAACATTGAAGAATTGAAAAGATAAAGAAAATTATCGAAAAATTGAAGAACCGAAACACTGAAAAATTTGGAAATCGAAGAACAAAAAATTGAAACATTTAAAAATTGAAGAATTGAAAAGATAAGGTAA